TTAACAAAGGCTGAAAATATCTACTGTCCATTGCCCTAGTCCTCCAGCAAACAGACAAGACTGAAAAGCAGGAAAATATTCAGTCCAATTGTGTAAAGATGGAAAAATGAACAAAAATCTTTAAAAATCCCCTTGGAGGAAGTTCAGGGTTTTTCCTGTTATTAAAACATCAACCAAACGTCAAGGCAAATGACTGAGACCAGTACTGTGTCCTGAAGTTGACAGAGGCCGATTCTGAAGCTTCATGTGATGGAAGACATGTTTTGCTCCTAGCCAGGGAAAGATTAAATCCCCAGACTGATACCAAAAAACTGACCCTGCCAGGTTATAAACCCCACAGCACTAAATGGACATGACAGATTTACACAAACATTTTACTTAAGGGAAGTAAAACCAAATTGCAATTTTGTAGTCAAAAAATGAATGCCAAAAAAACTTAACTGTGTAAGTCAGCAGGGTTTGCATGGTAAGAACGTGTTGATATCATGTGTGAAAATAATTTTTAAAATTATATTTTAACAGTTTCTTTGCAAGACCACCTTTTAAAGAACTGAATAATGTTGAGATTTTAAATGGTCATCAACTACATTTTCAAACATATAGAAGATCTTAAATCCATATATTATCTCAAATAAATTATTATATAAAATGTGTTTTATTTGATGAGCCTTGGTATCTCCTATTCAAAATCTGAAATATGATTTTTAGACAAATTAGCTTGCACACATGACTAAGTTCCAAAGACCAAATAAAATTCAATTTTCCAAATAAATGATCCTTTGCCAGGTTCAAGGCAAAATTCATAACTGAAAAAAAAGAAAATGTCATTGGTAAAACTCTCTTAGATTTTAAGTTGTATTTCAAATACATGGGTACTATGCAGATAGCAGTGTACCATGGAAAATGTTCTAATGTTGCACTTTGTTCTAAAGTCACCTCCAAACATAGTCCAAACAACATATGTCAAGCATACTTAGTAAATTAAAACCTCTCAAGCCTTAATACATGGCAGAAAGAAATACATATCTGAAACCTGTTGAATCATATATATAGAGAGAGAGAGAGTGTATTTTTTTATGCTCAAAGTTACTCTCTTCAGCCCAAATTATATTCAAGACTAATCTCCTTGGGATAACTGAAATACTGTAGACATCAAAGTTCCAGGAAAATAATCCGTGAAAAAGTAACTCAAGTAAGGACAAGTCCAATAAAATAGAAAATCAAAAAGGATTAAACTGTGTCTATGTGGTATTAAATTTTCATGTGTAAACATGGCACACTGAAAACAAGAAAAATATTTTTAAAAATCAGTTACTACATGTGATTAGTTGTAGTTTCAAAGGGAATGCTACCTGTCTAGTGAACAGAGCACTCAATGGGCCCTCTGGGTGTCTGAATTTTGTTCCCAGACTTGTGTCACTGCCATGATCTTAAGACAAGTTACTATTTGACTCAATGTTTCTGCCTACAAAAACATACTGGCCGCCTTTTTAAAGTGTTTTGAGATTTGCTGAGGAAAATACTTGGTCAGAAATTATTACTACAATCCCGTTTTCCTTGTTTTGTATGTTCTTTCTTTTCCAACCTACGTCAAAGGAAGGGGAAATGACCGAGGCCCTAGACCTTCTTTGAGGCTTAGCTCTCCTTGAGAGCAGATACTCTGACTCCAGGGGACCAGATCAGCCACTGATTCCAAAAAAATCTTCACTGATTACCACTGCCAAAAATCTGTCCATCTCTGTCAGCTTTTATTCTAATCTTGAGTCTAGCTGACATCTCTGGGGAAAGGATCGATACAAAAAGTGATGTATGAATATATAGAAAAAGACAAAGTGATCTCCCCTAGATAAATGGTTATTTAATGACACCAAAAACTAGACAAAATTCCTAATTTTAAACTGACTGACCCCATAACTTTTTCAAAAAACTTATGAAGTAGTTATGCTACAAACCATTGTATTGTCACAATAGCTAAGCCTAGCTAAGGCTACAAGTTGAAATACTGCAAAATCATGTTTAAGAAATGGGGCACTAAACCACTACCTTTTTCCTACAGGAAGTATGTAACAATTTAGCAGTAATTAGGAAATGCCTGAGGTAATTAAATATTTAATAGGCAGTGTTGTGACACTAGGTTTTCTATATTTTGTCACTGGTAACTCCTTCCCACTAGCTCAGCTGTCCATCAGCTTAAGGGATTCCAGGCATCTGTCCTTCAGCAGCAACACACACACTAATAAACAATGCAAGCGTTGCTCAGTGTCCAACCACTTATCAAAGCTTTACTTCAGACTTTCTCAACAAACTCTTGGTTTTACTCCATCTAAGAAACAAACTACCAATAACTATCAAGATTCCCTCTCTACTTTGTTACCTGCAGCAACACATTACCTACAGAAGTCATCTCAGAATTTGCTCTCAAAGGCAAAATGATAGAACCAGCACTGCTATGGTCCCAGATGGAGAAGTGTTAGCATCCTGAAAAACTTCTCTTGGCACCTCCATTAATGTCCTACGTAAATGCAGAATTGCCAAATACACTTTTCTTCTGGTCCTCTTCTCATGGTTAATATTAGACCAAACAGAGATGCCCCCTTTTACAGGATCCTCTAGCTCAAATCACTGCCTTATATCCAGGTTTTACCTATCAGAATCTCCTATATTAAGAAGACAATATTAAACATACTACTGATGTTACCTGGAGCAAGCTGAGAATACAGTTTCATCATATTAACCTGGTTCCACTACAAGCAATATACAAATACCACTAGAGGACATATTTATCATATCTGGACAGATATATTTCAACTCTAGTAACATGTGAAAAGCAACCTATGAATACTACTATATAGCCCTCCCCAATAAATACTTAAACTTCATTAAAAGAAAACTTCTTTAACAAATTATGCTGCTTCCCACACCAAAAGCTGATGGGCAGAGTCAAGCGGCCATAAACACAGAAGGAACTGGAAGAATCTTGTTTAATAATGATGGGTCTCATTTTCTGCTTGCTTTTAGGAAGCTCTATTTATGTTTTATACAGGTTTTTCATTCATTTTACATGGAGTGGAAATACTGAATCAGCTTAGGGAGTGAAAAACCAGAAGGAACTATAATTGACTTACAGTTACCGTCTTTCTCCCCCTTGCACAAAGAAGGAGCAATTTACTGCTGCTCAGAAAAAGCAATGCATTTCCTCCATCCTTGTCAGTTCTACTGACCAACCCGCTGGTGAATGGGCTACAGGTGACACGGTCACCAGCCTGTTAACTTAGGGCTACCCAGTCCTCAAATTCATTCCCCAACACCCTGCACACTGCCCCCACAAAATGAAGTGACACGGGGCTAGGGACAATCTTGCCACTAGGATTTAGCTGATTCAGATGTGAAAAGCAAGAGACACTCCCATTTAAGTGTCAGGATCATGTTTCTGAATCTGTTACACAATAGGCTGTTTGTCAGAAACACACAGATGGACTTCTTGTTGTGGTGAAGTCAACGACAAAAACCACCCAGGATTTCATGCAGTAACCCTCCATTTTCCTGCAGTACATGCTGAAGTACTACAGTATGTTGCCATTAATCACAGATCCTCGTCCCCACCCTGTGCTCTTCTGTTAAACTACAAGAAACAAAGTCTTCTGGTTTATAGAATTTAAAAGACTGTTTTAAATTAAGAAGAAAAGTTTAACATTGTTAATTTTATTATATATTTACTTCTAACTCAGATTCCACTTAATTTGTAGTGTTGAAGAGTCTGAGCAACGCTGAATCATAAAACTTAACAAGTTTCACCGTGCACAAATTTATTTAATATAGCACAGACACAGAGGGCTCATCCAAATCCTCAAATTACTTCAATGTTTTTCCTTTCAAACCGAACCTGTAACGTGACAGTAGAGAAATATATTTCTGAAACTGTAAAAAAAAAAAAAAAAGGGCACATTTTGCAGCTGGGGGTCTATGGTGGAGCAGATGACCACCTGTAGCCCGTGGAGGACCCCACACTGGAGCAGGTGGATGCCTGAAGGCGGCTGTGATCCCATGGGAATCCCACACTAGATCAACCTCCTGGCAGGATCTGTGGACTTGTGGAGAGAGGAGCCCATGCTGGAGCAGGTTTGCTGGCAGGACTTGTGACCCTGTGGGGGACCCAGGCTGAAGCAGTCCGTTCTTGAAGGACTGCACAGCATGGAAGGGCCCATACTGCAGCAGTTTGTGAAGAACTGTAACCCATGGGAAGAACTCATGTTGGAGAAGTTTGTGGAGGACTCTCCCATGGGAAAGACCCCATGTTGGAGCAGGGGAAGAGTGTGAAGAGTTCTGCCCCTAAGGAGGAAGGAGCAGCAGAGACAGCACGTGATGAACTGATCACAACCCCAATTCCCCACCCCCCTGTGCCACTGCAGGGACAAGAGTTAGAGAAAATCAGGAGTGAAGTTGAGCCTGTGAAGAAGGGAGGGGTGGGGGGGAGGCGCTTTAAGATTCGTTTGTATTTTCTCATCACTATACTCTGATTTGATTGTCAATAAATTAAATTAATTTTTCCCCAAGTCAAGCCTGTTTTCCCCATTTTGGTAATTGGTGAGTGATCTCTCCCTGTCCCTATCTTGACCCACGACTCTTCTGTTATATTTTCTCTCCCCTGTTCAGTTGAGAAGGTGAGCGACAGAGCAGCTTTGGTGGGCACCTGGTACCCAGCCAGGGTCAATCCACCACAGAAACCCATGAAACCTCCAAGGAATTAATCAAGGTTTTTGCATGTGGAAGAGTTTCATCGAGATCCCTTCAACACTAACTCAAAAATCTTTCTCATACAGCTTCACCAAAGAAGATAATAGTCTTTAGCACAGATTTCTGTTCAGCACCTACCTCACAAACAAATTTAAATACTAAGTCCCAGGAGCAAGAGGATTACTATAAAATGAGTTTTAAACTTCTAAAAACAGTTTCCAGAAAACATGAACATGTCAAAATGAACGTGGAAGGTGTGTACATACCTATAGCTCTCTTCGCTTTCTGAATCCTGCTCTTCATCAGAATCTTTGTATTTATCAGGATCTGGAAGAGTACTTGGATCAAACTCTTCTTCACTTCCACTGTGATCAAGAAAGGCCACTGTTTCCTCTTCATCCTGCCAGGTGACAAATGGAGAGTTACAAGACAAGCAAAGAAGTCCATGTTACCTGCCACAACCCCACTAAATGGGATGCCATAACAAAAACTGTTGTCCTTAACCGCAGTCAAAGGCCATCGCAATTGTAGTCAGGAAAACAGAATTGTTTGTCATCGTCAGTGCCCTCCTCCAAGGCTGTTTGTTAAAGGTTGAAGAAATATTATTCAAAAAGGAAGCACAAGGATTTATGTTCAAATTCTACTTTCCCAATATGGTCATCTTAAATCTACCAAATCTAAGAGAGATTTGGACAGCAACTAATCAAAAGTCATCTGAGAGCAAGTGTTTAAGTAATATGGAGCTTTACTGTCTCTCAGAAACACACTGGCAAAGAGATATGAGCTTGTGGACACATCAATCACTGCTGTAAGGTGTATTTCATAAAATACTCCGATTTAAAACTCATCTGGGTGTCCTTGCAGTTAAAAACTAAAGTACTGCTTAAGCTGAATTAATTGCTCTAAGGGAGTTTCAGCCACCCACCACAAGTGATGCATGTTCTTTAGGCTTCACTTCAGACTCACTGATCCCTCTTCTCTGGGGCTCAGCTTCTCTCCGTCCCCATAGCACATTTCAGGACGGGCTGCTGGCACTGGCAAGTTTCCCCAGGGTGTGGGAATGTCTCACTAATTCCTTAACAAAGAGGGCACAGAAGATGCTGCTCCATAAAGGTCTTGGATAATATGATAAAGCTGACTGCTTTTGAAAATGTAGGTTCTTCTCCATGTAGCCCTGAAGTGATGGCACCACTTTTGTAATTTTTTCCTAACAAGCACGAAGAAAGCAGAGGGACTGGAGAGCATACACAATTGTATATGCACACAAAAATGCAAACAAAAAGCTTACAGGCGTTTTTAAGCAACATGAACCCTAGATCCATGCATATTTATGCTGAAAAACAAATGCAAATAAACTATAATTAGACATTGCTACCTTTTGTTTATATATCTAATCAACAGGCACACAGTTGAGTTTCCAAAACAGTACTCACTTAAATGATCCTTCATTCTACAAATAACTTCACATAATTAAATATCTAACGTTCATTTTTGTTCTGTTTTTTCACCATTTCCATCTATCACCAGGTTTTAAAAGAACACTGTCCTCACATGCACACATCTCACCACAATAAAAATAAAAACAAACAAAAACCATACTAAATGTCCCTTTTATATCTGCGTATAGAATGAAAGGAAATGAGCTGGCAAAGGGTAAGATTAGTCACCACTGCAAGAGTCCTTTATTGCTTGTCTAGTCACTGAACGCAAGCAGAAGCAAGGGATAAAAGCCAGATTTGCAGAAGGCCGAAGAAAAACATACTGAACACACATTTTGTTCTTGACACTTTGAAATACTAGTAAAGGTAATTGTATAGCTAGGCATATAAAATCACGAAAAGCATCATCAGACTCATTAGGAATCTAAACTGCCTAAGGTAACATAACCACTGAAAAGCGTGTTGATTACCAAGAACTTCAGGTGTTACTCCACAACAAAGTTGGGTTTGCTTTTGTGTTATTTTTAAAGTATTTTTTGTTTACAAAAATAATCTTGTAGCTCATCATTCAGTACAATATTACAGAGCACTACTAACTCAACAGAAAACTATTTTGAACGTCACTTTTTAGTTAATGAATTTCCATATCTGGAAAGCATTTTGCATTAAATTATAATTTATTTCAATTCTTTAAATATTTGCTCTTTACTTGTCCCTCCCATTGCATCTATTCTTTCAACACAACTGGTGCGTACCAATTACATGTCTTTTTTTCTTTTTTTTTTTTTTTAAAGACAAGTAATATTCCAAGCTGTTGTATGGAACAAGGTATTTTTTATATGTCTGTGTGACACTAGGAAACAGAGTTATGTATTACTAATATTTATCGTCAGTCATCTTATAAGACTCAGGCTGTTCATTCATATTCTCAGTTATATCAGTAAAATGTCAAGACTTCATTGTTTCTTAAGTTTTGTCATTTAAATATGCACACACATAAGACAACTACACGTACACAGATCAAACCTTTGCTTTCATTACACATTCATATCCATTTTTTCCAGCAAAAAATTTGCAGAGATGTGTTCAAGGTAACACTTAGTATAACAAAAGAAATAATTGGCAAAGTTGCCCCTTTAATTCATCAGGAATCACGAGGTCATACTTCTTATAAGTATCACCGGTTACATATTCATTAAAATATTCATAAGACCCTGAAATTGTTAAGAACTTGAACATGAAAATTTATCATCCACAGCTGAACAATAGAAACTCATTATTTTTTCCCTCTTGCTTCAAATTTATATCAGCCAGTCAGGAAGAAGACATCTTGTGACTTAACTTCATATTACTCACCACAAGAGCTGAATTAAAAAAGTAAAATCATAGTTCAAGCTAATACTTGTAAAAGTTCTTCAGATACAAACAGGATGCAATTTACAGACTCAGGATTAGATCCTTCCTAAGGCAGTTGCTATCAAAGAAGAAATTAACTGAAGAACAGACTTCCACCACCTGTATTTTATGTCTAAGGTTAGTGACAGTGTGGTTTGAAGTATGCATTTATTACAAAGTTCAACTGTGGAAGGAAACCCATTCAGACATCAAATCAGGCCAGTCAGAAAAGGATTCGGTGGCAATTGCCTTGCTATTTTCACTCTGCTCAGGGGTGACAAGCTCTCTCTTTCATTATACCAGATTGGCCCATGCAATCTAGTTCCACAAACTTTGCACAAAAACTTTCAGTTTGAACATGGCACTGAGATGAAATCATTTCTGCATTCATACAGTCTCCCTCTGAGGCATAAGGAGATTCTTCTTATGTAAACTCAACGTTTTCTTTAAAATTCAGCAAAATTTCTGTGAGGAAGGTTTTGGAAACCTCGTTGCCTTCAGCCTTCCACTCTGTAACCAAGTCAACAATGATTGCACTCTACCTTACTGTAGTCGTTTTGGAAACACACACCAGATAAGGCAAATAGGGCAGGTTCCACTAGAGTTTTTGCCCTGCTTCTTGACATAATACCTCCAATTCAACTTCTAGTTGTCTTTGTTACAAGACATAATTAACGACAACTTCCTCTCTTCATAAAGAAGGCTGAATGGCTGGTGAAGCTCAGGTAAACACATTAGGCAGGCTAAGAGAAGCTTAAAATGAAGATTTTGATGTACCTCTTTAGGAAATCAGACACTCAAAGGACTCAAATGTTCAAATAGCAGAATGATGCCTCATTTCTACCAGGCATTAGGCACTCAGGTAAAAATTACCTCTTACCATCAGATAAAAAGTGAGAACTGAAAAAACATACCATGAAAGCCTGCACATACATAAAAAAATTATTTTTCAAGTTTAAATTTATAGAATACTATTTATTATGGTATTTAATTTGTATCTAATGTAACAGCTTTTTCATTAATCCAATTAAATTGTCTGGAGTTGTAATTTTTATTTTCATCCCTTTAAGCAATTTATCATTTCCTATCAACCAGGTTGAAGGGGGGGAAAATAATTATTTTGGCACTATCAGTTCTGTCCATAACACTTGATAAAGCACGTTGGGGGAATATTTATGATCAGCTAAAACCAAAACCTTTAAGGTTTATTTAGAAGTCGATCAGACTTGATTTGAGTCCATCAACAGTCATACTTACACAATACTCGGTTCCTTTTGAGCTATGCCATCCTTTAGCTTGTGCTAATAATATGGCCTCTGCCCAGTAAGTAGTGTTTGTGATTTTAATACTAAGAAAAGGCAAGTTTTAAATATTGCTAGGAGGTTACCCTGCACAAGTACACTACTTCTAAAAATTCAGCATATTATGGCTCATATAAAAGGATATTTAAAAATATAATCCCTTTCATGATCTGACAGCATTCCAAATTTTATTAATTTTCTTCTTTTTGACAATTATTTTTCAGATAAAAATGGCAGTTGTTTCTGCATCACATTTATGATGCAACACATTCACGGAGAGATTTAGTAGCATTTCCTTTAAAATATCTTACTCTCGATTCACCTGATCACCTCGTGGGTTGTTTTTTTTTGTTTTTTTTTTTTTATAGTCTGTACCCTCAACCCACAACACTGTCCCCAGCAGATGTTGCTCTGATATTTCATCATCTACATTGCCCCAAAGGAATACAGCTCTTCTGACAGTTCACAAATGGAAATACAGCCTTTGATGTAGCTGGGGTGTTTGATCCAACAGTTGCTTTGAAGATCAAGACCAAAGCCTTAGATTATACTGAAAACTGACTGGGAGCCAGTGGAGTGAACCAAGTGTTGATTGAACATACAAAGAGTTGCCTAAACCATGCCAAAATTGGACAAATACACTCCATACCACCTAATGCTCATCAACAGCCTTCAAACACAAACACCAAAAGCACCATTTCCACTGAAGGAAGGATCTTGCAAGCTAAGAAGGGAAAGGCCACCTTTCACCCACATTTCTAAGATGTGTGCAGTGGTGTTTAAGGTTAACCTTCATAAAGATTAACCTTCACGTGAGCATTCTTCCTGTTGTCATCTACCCTTTGTCATCTGCATCAACATTGAACATTAATTCTAATAGGCGGCATATATGTCCATTCCACAATTGGTTTTGTCAACTTCTCCTAGGCTTGTTTCTCCTTATGGATAAGTAGGAAGTGATATACAAAAGGGTGGGAAGAGCAGAGAACAGGTTCCTGTGGCAGGACTTTCTGTTCTCTTGGTCTGAAGCACACAGATGCATTCAAGGAACACCACAGAAAGGAGATAATGTGGATGTGAACGGGTTCAACTGTTTCAGGACTATCCAAGTTCCATGGGTAGAGCCAGAAAGGTTGGTAACCAAAAACTGGAGAAGCCAAGGTTGCAGGTTAGTCAGACAGATATAGTCTTTGCACTAGGATAATCTGATTGTCAGGTTCTTGGAAGGAGTTAGCCATAGCTCCTGGTTTTCACACCACTTTATA